AGTGCGCTGTCAGACCCAATACATACACACACACACATGCATACGTAATACTTAGGCATAGACCTAAACCTAGCAACAACTAATAACAATCGGGGCTAGCAGCGCGCTAGTAGTCCAAGTCTCGCACCTGGTTGCCGTAGCCAAAGTCCTTCAGGTAGTTGTCGATGGCCAGGTCGAAGGAGGATGACTCGGACTTGCCCTTCGACTCGGGCGCCTCATAGGACTTGTCCGGATAGGCCTCTGTCTGGGAGGGATATGCCTCGGTCTGGGGCATGGGCAGGGGCACGGGCACTGGCACGGGCAGGGGCACAGGCTCTGGCTCGGGCTCAGGATATGGCTTGGGCGGCTCTGGTGGCGGAATCGGATACGACGTGGTGCTCTCATAGACGGGCGCCGATGTGGCCACCACCTCGTTGTAGGGCGTCTTGGCCTTGGCCACTGCACGGCCAGAGGCTGAAACCGCCGCGGATGCAGTCTTGATTATCACGTGCTCCTTGGGTGGCGAGACCTTGCTGATCAGCTGCCTGTACTGCGGCTGGAGTCGAGAGATCAGCGGCTGTGGTGCGTAGTAGACCGATTGCTGTTGCGGCGGCTGCGGCTGCGGCTGCGGACTGGCCGGATAGCCCTTGCGAGCGCCGTAGGAGGAGCTCAGCAGATGCGCCAGCTCCTCCAGCGTGTAGTTGGGCGCATTTATGTTGTTCGCAGCGGGCGCGGATGCTGCCCCCGCCGCCTCGCTGTAGACCACGGGATAGGGCTTGTAGCTCTTGGCGGCGTACTTGGGGTAGTATTTGCGCTGCAGCGACTGCGTGTACTCGACCTGGCCGCCTGGCGCATACTCGCCCGTGGAGGAGATCTGCGTGATCTGCTGCTTGGGACTGGCCACGGACACCTTGCGGCAGAACTCCTTGCAGCCCAGCTTGCACTCGCAGTAGCACTTCTTGTACGTCGAGGGGGTCGTGTAGGGCGTCGCCGGCGTCGTATAGACGTACGGCAGGGTGGAGATGATGGGCGGCAGTGTGGGCGTCAGTGTGGTTGGGGGCGTGGTCACTGTTGGCGGCGTTTGCGTTGTGGTGCTGATCGCTGGCGTCGAGCCCGTCGTTGAGATGGGCGGCCGGAGCGTGGTGGAGCTGATCTCACTGCACGGCACCTGCTCCCAAATCTCCTGCTCGCACTCGGCGCAGTACTGCGGAAAGTGGGCATGGCTGAGGGCAAGAGCGCTGAGCGCCAGCGCCAGCAGCGCAAACATCGAATTGTGTCGCACGATCATCTAGAAGCAATACGAAAATGGGTCAATTTAGTGGTTACCGCTCAAGGGTCAACGACACAATTCACAATTCGCAATTGGCAAGTGGCAATCGGCAATTGATTCGTGGCTGATGATGATGTTTTTTACCTTTCAGCAGTATTTGGATTCAGTTGGCGGCTCGGATAGCGCTTGGTCGGTCTCTGCTTGGTCGCGTGCAACTTCTTTAATGCAATTTGCTGAATAGCTCTTAAATACGTTTTTCGCTGGCTGCGAGCTATTTGCGAATATTACAGCGCTATGCAAATGGGTCGCGGAAGCGTTGCCCCCAGCACGTTCCAAATGCTGCGCTCAACACACGCCACGGCGGGGCATGGGGATGGCGACGCCGACGCTGACGCCAACGCCGACGCCGACGCCGATGCCGACGACGCCAACGCTTGATAGTCGAGAAGAGTCGCAATTGTGCATTGGCTATGCCGAAGAATCACAAACACAATCGCAATCTGAAGCGCTTCCGTAAAAGAATTTCATGCATTTCGCAGAGCACTCGCTGATAGCCACAGCTCAGAGCCGGAGTCAGAGCCAGAGCCAGAGGCAGAGCCACAGCTCAGAGCCACTCAGCTAGTTCCGACTAATGTTCCAGTTCCGGTTCTAGTTCAATTTTCATTGCACATTTTCATTTCTAGCTCTGCACGCATTGACCATTTTTTTGTGTCTGAAGTTTCATCGGCGACTGCTCGATGGATTTATAAATTCTGTCTGCTCTGTCTGTCTGGCTCAGAGTCTGGCGATGTGTCTGGAGCGGCTCACTCACTCATTACAATTGCTGCTGTTGTTGTTGCCATTTTGTTTTTAGCATTAATTTTAAGTCATTTCTCTTATCAATCTCTCGATTAACTTATCAATTGGGAAACATTTTGATGGGTCGAAACACGTACTGCCCCGATACTAGCGAATTGCATTTCAATTTTCCTCTAATTAAATGATTTAGTTGGTGATCCATAAGAGCTATGACTATATATGCGTCAATTTAACTATATTTACACATATTTATGGTAAAAATTGTCTCGCCATGAGTATTATTAATATTAATTTAACAGCGAATTAAATCTTTCAAAAATTATTCATTTATAATAAACTTTATGAAACTTTGAGGCTTGTTCTTTTGGGTTAATAAATTTATTGTTCTACTTTTTCAATAGATACTTTACTTTTTAATAGATAGATAAACTTTTCTGTGAGATAGTTGAACATTGAGTCTACCTTAAATAAGAATTTACTCATGTATGAGGTGGGCATTTGCTTTTGCTTGAATTTGGTTGAGTCAGGTAACTAGTTAAGACGAAGAAGAAGAAGAACGTGGAATTTAATCCTCTCAGTCTTGGAAATTACT